CACTTTATACATGGGATGGGTGGCCACAGGAGCAGCCCAACGCTTGTCTGTTCAGTCAGTGAAGAACATCAAAGTGCTGCATTGCAAGAACCTGGGATTCATTTAGCAGAAAGCCAGCTCAACAATTTCAGTGCAAGGGGCCAAGGCAGAGAGGAGGGGGACTGTGACTTACTCCAGCTGGGCACTTCATGCCCCCAGTTGATGTAGGGTTATTACTGACAGGCTGCATCCAGGTACATCAAGGTTCACTATAAGGCAAGGAGAAGATGTTAAAATAATATCATGGATGAAAGAAGAAAGCCTGCAAAGTAATGGCTCCAAGTTCTGTGTTACTGACTGTGGAAGAAGTCTAGATCCTGGGCAAGGGTAACCCCATGGAAAGAAGTTCTGTCCTCAAATCAAATCAAACATGTAATGGAGACACTTCTGCACGGCTCTCCTACGGCTTTAGAGGAGCCTGTTTAACTGAGCAACGTCTCCAGCCAGGACTTGGAAGACCCCAACAGAGAAACCTTCCCTGGATGTCAGAAAGACCAGCAAATGTAGAGAAGGAACAGCAAAGGATGCCAGAAGAAAGAGACATCGCAGAGCTACGCTGCATCAAGCCAAATGGGATTAAGGCACTGGGCTCCACTCTGGACTTTGGGTGTAAGTGTAATACAAGGTTTAATGTGAACAGAATCAGAGACTCAACGCAAAACCACTGCATATCCACACTGGACAAAACAGACTGCTAGCCCAAGGTAGCAACACCAGGGTGCTGAACACCTGCCCACCCTCATGGCTCTATGAACCTTCACACTTCAGCTGTGTGAGGCCAGCAGCACGCTGAAGGTGAAGGACACAGCAAAGCCTCCCAGGGCTGTGCACTGCGCTCAGAGCCTCGCAGGGTATCACAGCATTTAGATTTGCCCTGGATTTAGGACAGACACAGCCCTTTCCCAGCAAAACTCCTACTGCAGAGAGACGTGGAGGCAGCTGAGACGAGGCTTCCTGCAGGACACAACACAGAGGCTCCGTGCTGCTTCCCAGGGACAGCTTTCAGCCTGAGCCTGCCTCCTGCAGCACTCCTGTCAATGCTCTGCTTCACAGACTGACACCCACCGAGGTCACAACCTTCCACGTGGGTTTGGGGCCATACCTGCACGAGTGGAAGCAAAGAATCTGCCCCTATCACCAGTTTCCAGGGACAAACTCTTGCATGTGTCCCAGGGGCATCAAGCTTGTCTTGGGCGCACAAAAGAGGTGCCAGTGTTGGGAACCAACCACCCTTCTGATCATCCCCAGGCAGACCTCAAGACCTTACACCTCAGCGATCAGAAGGAAGTCCAGGAGCAGCTCCATAGCTGGAGCTAACTGTCCTCCTCAGGCCAACTCAAAACAGCCTTGCCCTCTTCCCTGCACAGAGCTCACCACTGCTCTCCCATGCTGCTCTGAGTCCATGAGAGGCAATTTCAGGTGCTCAGCTGATGCCTTCTGACCATGCTCCTGCTGTCACGATGTGCATGGCTCACTGCACCATCTTCTTGGGCCTGCACACCCAGTTATTAAAAACTTCATTAGCCTTCCACTCATTAGCTAAGTTAGCTGGTCATCCTTGTTGGCTTTCCTGGGTGACGTCTTTGGCATCCCTCACAAAACCAAGCTGTGGGGTGTAGAGTTTTCTAATTAAAACTGATAATAGGAAGGATAAGAGCAGGCTCAGCAGCACCAGCAAGCGATGGTTAGCGGAGAACACAATCACTGTGGTCTGCTCTGGGCCCGGGGAAAGCTCCCCATGATGGGCAGAGATGGGAGGCCATGACATGGAAAAGCAGTTGGGGCTTCTCAGGACAGCCCACACTGGGCCAGCAGCTGCTCCCCTCCTCTCGCCCATTTCTGCCAGCCCTGATAGGGAAGGACATGCTATAATTTTGATAATGGGCACCACAGGGTGATGTAATGCAGTGAAGACTGGCACAGCACACTCAGTGAGGCAGGAGGAGTCCTTGCTACACCAGGGACACCACGTCTGCGCTAAAGACCCAAGCAAGAACCACAGGGTGCTCAACACCTTGGTACAAGCTTGGTCCAAGCCTGCAGGCTGGAGGCACATCACAGACCAAAGGCAAAGGCTGGTCCAAGTGCCTGACTTTGCAAAGCTCAGATCCATCACCCCGGATCTCTCCATCACCTCACTGAGCAGGTACAAACCAACCATCACAGGGCTGCACACGCAGAGCCCTTCAGCTCAGCACTTCAAGAAGCATCTCCGTGTACAGGCTGCAAGGTTTGCTGCAGGGGACATGAGCATTGCACAACTCCACTTCTTGCTCCTCCAGGCACCTCCGTGCCTCTTCTCCACTACAGTTTGAGCAGCCCCTTCCCCTCCACGGGAGCATTTGCTGTTGGAGCAGAAGTCATAGAATCATAGAATGGTTTGGGTTGGAAAGGACCTTAAGATCTAGTTCCATTTAGTACCAGCCCCCCTGCCATGGGCAGGGACACCTACCACTAAACCATGGCACCCAAGGCTTCGTCCAACCTGGCCTTGAACACCACCAGGGATGGAGCATTCACACCTTCACTGGCCAACCCATTCCAGTGCGTCACCACTCTCACAGTAAAGAATTTCTTCCTTAGATCCAATCTAAACTCTCCCTGTTTCATTTTGAACCCGTTACCCCTTGTCCTGTCACTGCAGTCCCTAATGAAGAGTCCCTCCCCACCATCCCTATAGGCCCCCTTCAGACACTGGAAGCTGCTCTGAGGTCTCCCCGCAGCTTCTCTTCTCCAGGCTGAACAGCCCCAACTTTCTCAGCCTGTCTCCATACAGGAGGTGCTGCTATCTGGAATGGAAAGTTAAAGGTTAATCTGAAAACATGGTCCACATGGTTTTCCAGAACATCAGTCTCCAGTCCTGTAGCTGAAGCCTCATCTTAACTTGGTGTGCTAACAAGCAGTCGCAGGGCAGGGTGGCCAGAAGCAGGGTGGCAGTGGGGTGCTGATCCAGCCCTCCCCAGGCCAGCCCACGGCTACGGCCGGGCAGAGCCCTGCGGCACCCACATCCTCACGTTGTGATTTCAGACAGCGGGTCATGAGCACTGACTCCTCGGTGGCCGCTGAAGGGCTCTGCCCCCCGCAGCCACAGGGCATGGACCTGAGTCACTGCCCGGGCAGGCGCTTTTCTGCCGCATCAGCTCCTTCATCCAACTCCTCCCACAACCGCAGCATGGCTCCATCTGACACCAGAGGAGTGGCAGCACCACGCAGCCGGGGAGGATGGATGAGCAGGACCTGCTGCTTCTCCTGCTCCAGACCTCCGCTGGCACACAGGCATTGGCACCCTCCCTTGAGAGTCCCTGCGAGCACTGCAGAGCAGACTCCCAGCTTGCCACAAGTGACTTTGATGCACTGAAGGAGCTGGTGATCAAACCAGGATTACGGGTGCTGAGCAGTTCAGCTGAACATTCCAGGTTCCTCTCCAAAGACTCACACTTGTCTGAGTTTCTGGTCAGTCTATTCATCCTACTATGGACATGAAGGCAGAATATGGACCAGTGGTTTGTTCATCCATAGTAAAACTACCCAATCTATATTCTTTTCTACTCTGCAGTATCTGTTACTCCTATGCAAAATACTTTAAGAAACAGCCAGAAAGTTCCATACACATCATCTGGCAACATCCCTTAAAGAAAACAAAGGTCACATTCACACTCAGATTCAGCCCAGCTCCTAAACACTGCCGTGAGCAAATGCCACAAAAGCACAGCAAAAAAAAAGCATCCAGGAGGGCTTCAGCCTCTCTATCTGCAGCAGAGACCCTGGGGAGGAGATCAAACCTGTGGGTCTTCTGCTGCTAAGGCCTGAACATAGTTTGGGATTATTTCTTGCTTCTGCTGCTACATGGAAGGGAAAATTAAAGGTTCATCTGAAAAGAAGACACAGGCAGAATGGAGCATGCAATGGCTGCAGTGTCCACACGGTTTTCCAGGACAGCAGTTTCCAGTCCTGTAGCTGAAGCCTCATCTTGGTGTGCTAACAAGCAGTGCAGCCTAACGATGCCCTCCGCCACTCAGGAAACTCCATCCTCCTCCGAGCTGTGCCCCAGAACAAAGCACTTTTGGGGAGCCCATGAGAAGCATGAGGGAAGTAAATGGACTTGTATTCTTCCAAGGTAGATAAAGCTAAAACTTAGATGGATCTTCTTTATGTCCTCATTTTTGCAGGCTCCAAACTAATGATGGGTTTCACTGCCAGTTGCACCCTTGTGAAGATGCTCAAGGCCTTGATGGGAGTAATGGGAGGATGCGTGGATGTGCAGCTGGGTTTTGGAGGCAAGAGCTTGCTGTGCTGCGTGGCAAACAGGCTGACACAGCGGGATGGGGTTTTTCATCCTGTGCAGCACATGATAAGCAGGAGGATGATCCACAACTCCAGTAAGGACACCTTGCTTTTGTGAAGGAGAACAATCTGCTGAGATGGTTAGGGGACTACGGGCATTTTGCCAACATCATATGAAGCGTATGCAGAGAACTTTGGGTGAAAACCCAAACTTGGCCTCAGCTGTGGTAAGTCCACGCAAAGGGATCAAGTTGAAAGCAATATTCTCACCAGCAGCAAGCCAGCCACTTAACAAACACAAGGGATTTCACTGAGTATCTAATAGATGTGTTCCTTGAATCCCTCACAGTACCTTAATGTAAGCCCTACTAAATCCAAACAATGAGTTTGGGCGATGACAACACTACATTGCTTTGACAAAGCATGTTTGGTTGAGGCAGGAAACTCCCAAATGGTGACAAGTTTCCCTAGGAACATGTGGCTGCAAGAATGCAGACCAAAAAAGAATGAGTAAAGACAATTTGTACCAGAAAACTCCAGGAAGACAACCAGGCACTTGTACAATCCGTGCCCTGTCGTAGGGATTTTCAAATCCCTGATCTTATCGTTAACCACTGCTGGCAATGGATTTCCTCCAAAATAAAACTGAAATGCTTCAAGAAAATAAAACCAAGATGTAGGTGATGCAAAGAACAGTTTTATTTGTGTTTAAAGCAGAACATGAGGGCAAACCAGTGTCAGGAAACAGGCACCTCTTCCCAAACTGAAGCACTCTGTGCTCCTCCAGCCGTGACACACGGACCCAAGCACGTGCAAGGAGCCAGGAGGGCTCTCATGCAGGGGAAGACTGTCCAGGAAGGACCTGGCTCAAGAACAGGAGCTCAGACAAACTGGGCACTTCACTTGCTTTTGCCTCAGTTACCAAGGGTCAGCAAGCTCTGAAACAGAACTGAGAGCTCAGCACCTTGCCACCGGCCCCAGTACACAGAGCAGTAGCCACCAGGCTGGGACATCAAGGCAGGGCCCCAGAGGCCTGCAGCAATGAAGCAGGGCACGGTGGAGATGTGCTATCTGCCCAAAGGCACCGTGTGTACTGCACATCCCTGTGTGTGAGCAGCTCCCTGGGCTCTGCTCTGCGACTCATGCCCAGGGCTTGCTTTGCACGGAGAGCACTGAGAACATGCCATGTGTCTGCTCACTGGTCTGCCTGAACCAAAGCCTCGCAGCGGGGCAGAGCTTGCACAGCTCACCTTAGCACAAATCTAGACTCCAGCAATGAATGGGGACCCCAACCCAGTTACCCTAAGCTCTATCTTAATGGATGCACTATGGAGGAGAGGGAAGAAGGAAGTCTTTCCTACAGCGCCTAAGCCACGATCTCAGAGGTGGAATCTCCACAAGGGAAGTGGATGTCTTTGGCAAGGCAGGGCCCATTGGGTTCCTTTCCGAAATCCACCAGGAAGTTCTTGTTCACACACAGGCCTCCCTTCTCAGTGTCCACATCAATCTGCAGCATGACAGAGCCTTCCCTGTGAGTGAACAAGAGCGCAGCCATCACACACAGGCAAACCCCAACCAGGCTGAAACGTTTCTGCTCTCCCCAGCTAAAGCCTGGCTCTGCAGCTCCACACAGGCAGCGGCTGCTCCGTGCCCAGCCAGAGACCTTTGAGAGTGAATTGCATGGGGAAGTCAACAGGAGGAAGCTGTGGGATGATGTGAGGAAAATCTGTCCCCCTGCAATCACCCACGTAGCCCTGGAGCCCCCCACATGAGGAACCTTCCCCATTCCTAACACCGAGGCCCTGCAAAAAACGCCCCTGGCTGCCCCATCAGTTCTTACTTGACCAGGTTTGGGTAGAACTGCTTGTCCCATGTGCTGTAGAAGGAGTTGGTGACGTACAGCCTCTTGCCATCCAAGCTGAGCTGCAGCCTACTCGGGCCGCCGTACACCCTCTTGCACTGAAGGAACAACACACAGCAGGGATGTCACTGCTCCTTGCTCTGCCCAGCCAAGCACAAGCAGGGGCAGAAACCCTGGACAGAGAAGTAGCAGAACAGAGCCCAAGTGCAAAGGACACCCCAGGGCAAAGAGGGTGCAGAACTCACCTTGACCACCAAGGGCTCGGGCTGGCACTTCAGCTCCTCGTCTCTGCACACAGCAACAGGTCCACCTCTGAGGATGCTGCCTCCCACAAACACCTGTAAGCGAGGCAGGAGGAGAAATGTTATCTGGTCATCTACCCACCACCAGACTCTGCTAAGGAAGTCACCAGTGCAAGCCCTTCTGCCCCTGCCTTACCTGTCCTACCAGCCTGGGCTTGCAGTTCCTGGACAGCTCGTATTGGCGGATGTCTCCGTGCAGCCAGTTGCTGAGGTACAGGTACTTGTCATCCCTCGAGATGACCAGGTCGACTGTGAAGGCTGGGGCACAGAAACAAAGAGTTCCAGAGAAGGCAGCATCAACAGAAACACACCCTGCATTGAGCCCCAGCTCTCATCTCACCACCTGAGGGGACACAAACCTGGCATCTTGCACATAATCCATCCTGCCACCTCCTTAGGTGGAATCCGGATCACCTCCTCCACTGCCCAGTTGTCTCTCTGCACAAGAGACACAGGCACCATGAGTGCTCCTGCTGCCCACACAGAGCAAAGCTGCCTGGGGAGGGCTCCCACTGCACGCAGCTACTACCCAAGCACTTGCCTCACACTTGTAGAAGCGGTAGACGACGCCGCTCAGGGCACAGCTGACGTATCCCTCGGCAGCATCGGGGTTGTGCAGGAATTTAACACTCAGGGGCAGAGAATCCTCCCCCAGGTCAAAGCACTGCGTGAGAGTGCGGCAGGACAAGTTCCACACGTTGAGGCGGCGTCCATAGACCCCTGAGGAAAAGGAAAACTGAGTCAGAAGAGGGGGGTTCCGACAGGAACCTGTGCCCCTCTCCAGCTCTGGCAGCCTCTCTGGTGGAATCCACACCCTCCCACCGCCAGGGGCACTGGCTCAGCACTTGCACCCCTATTCCCTCACCTTTCTTCAGGTCGTCAGGATTAAAGCCATATCCTGCACGTTTGAGCTCGAATCCAGCAGTGCTGATCAGAACATTGTGGCGGGGCTGGAACCAGAACTCGTATCCGCTCGGGGGGGATGCGCACTCGTTTTCCCAGTTCCCCTTCAGCTCAAAGTTCTGTCCATCCAGCAAGACAAATCCACCTGGCAGACACAAAGGGGATGCATGGAAAAGATCCCATACTCCACTTCCAAACCTGCCACTGGCTCAGGGAGCTCCTCCAGGGCAAAGTACCTTTGGCGTTGCCAGCTGGATCTCCCACGTTAGCAATCAGAACGTCACCGTTGGGCAGGCTGCGAGGCACATTGAGGTACCCCTTGTTGCACTTCCAGAAGACATCCACTGGCTCAATCATCTGTGAAGAGTGCACACACACACACTTCAGCTTCTGACTGCTCAGCTCAATGCACACATAAGGCTCTGAGCTCTCCTCTATGCAGACAAGAATGCAGCAGCACCTATCTCACTATAACAGCTTGTCTGTCTGCACTGTGCCTTCCAGTTATTAGACTCTCTCTGAAGGCAACAGGCACAGAAAGGAACATGAGGGTGATGCAAGCCTCCCTTGCCCTGGAAAGCACAGAGCTGAGAGGGAAACGTGACCCTGCTCTCTACAATCAGGGTGGAAGAGAAGATGAGGAGAGAGCCCTTGTTCCCTGTGTATTATTCCAGAAGCACCAGTTCCCAACTCCTTCCCAGCTACTTGTCCCTGCATCACCTTTGGCATACCTTACACAGCCTGGGAGCCCGGCACTGGGAACCCACATCCACCACGTAGATGCGGGAGGAAATGAAAGAGGGAAGAATCAGCTTGGTCCTTTGCATGCTGGCATTGTCAAAGCAGGTGCAGCCACTGCTCCAACCCGAGGAATGCAGCTCGTCTTTGAGGTTGGGCATGGGCAGGCGGTGGATCACCTAGGCAGTCAAGGCAGAGTTAGGGGAGTGCAGGGAGCAGGGACAAACGGGCACCCTAATGCTGCACATACTTGTGTCTTGGGAGCCTCCACCTGACTGGAGCCTGCACTGCCTCTAGAGACTACGGGAGGACAAGAGTGCTCCTTGCACTGGGCACTGCTCTCTGTTAGGGAACTGTGGGCAGCTGAGGAATGGGAGATTCTCCCAAGAATTCCTCACCCCGTGCAATTAAAACTCAGGAAATCATGTTTAGGAAGAAATGATGATTATCATCTTGATGGAAGTGATGCATTGCTCTGCAAAGCCCTTCTCAGAATGGATCTCAAAACGTGCTAAAAACTTTCAGAAGGCTACATTGGCTTTAAAGTGCATTTTCTTCTAAGCTCTTGTAGTAATGGGCTCTCAGGTCATATGTACCCTTGAAGTAGATAACCTGCCTTTGCAGCCTTCAGGATGAGAGCAGGCAGGGTGGTACAGCGCACAACAGAACATCTCTGACGTGGCAGCACCATAGAATCATGCTGAGCTCTGCAGAAGGATACCCTCAATCCCCTGGGTCACTAGGGACCATTTTAATCTCACTGGCAGCATCAAATACTCTGGAAGTGAGTTGGGAAGTGAGTCAGAACCAACTTGTCCCCGGGACACAGAGATGGAGATGATTCAACTAGAGCCAGGCATAAAGGGACAGTGGAAGACAGTAAATGCCATGGATCTAGCCAAAGAGGGAACAACTGGTCCCTGTTATACCAGTCCAATAAAACCACAGTCAAGATAGGTACCTGGCCGTAATATGGAGATCTGGGGTTGAGGTCCACGGTGGCAAGGAAGTCAGGTTGGTCAACGCACGTTTCCCTGTAGGTACAGGTCACATAGGCAACCTCCTCCCTAGGAGCTGGGGACAGAGAAAGCTGTGTTAAATAAGTCATGAACCAGCCACAAAGAAAAGCTTCCAATGACTGAACTACTTCTTCTGGATGCTGCAACCTCCCTACTAGTAGTTGAACTAGGAGATCCCTTGCAACTGCAACTGTTCTAATTCTCTTCTGTTCTGCTCCTCCTTGCTCACTGACAACTGTCCAAGCCTGGCTCCTTTACTGACCCAGACATAAGAGAAAAACAAATGTTGTTCCCGCTGGGGGAAGGGACAGGCCATACCCAGCACCCACCAGTGGTCTCCACCAGCACAGAGCTCTTTCCCAGACCACCCATTCCCAGCACGCTCGGGAGGACTTGCCTTTCACAGTATCCGGGCAGGTGGGGTACTCGTAGCACTGAGCTCTGCATCTGTCTGGTTTGAGAAGAACACAAGAACAACATGAGAAATGGCCATCCTAAAAGGCACCAACCCAGAAGCCTCTGTCCCACCTGAGGAGCTTCTCCCACCCCAGCTGTCAATGGGGACCACTGTAACCAGCAGCTGCTGTCGTTATGGCACTGACAGAGCACAGATCTGGGAGAGGAATCATCCCCAAACTGGCAGCAGGGCTGTCACGGATCAAAGCACAGCTCAGTTCCCTTCTGACCCATCCGAGCCTCCTCCTCATCCCCTTCCTATCAGCAGGGAAGGAGCAAAAGCCTCCACCGAGCACCACACCAGGACCGAACATCTGGCCTGGAAACCGACTCTGGTTTCTTGTCTCCCCAAAGGAAGGGAAGGCTCCCTCAGCACGGATGCTGCAGCCACATGCAAGAAGCTTTCCAAGGCCAACAGAAGCCCCCAGCAGCAGATGGGGAGAGAGACAAAAGGAACCTTTGGTACCAGTGGGACAAAACGCCCAAGCTGAGTCCCACCTTTCTCCTTCTGCAGCGCTCAGAGGAACAAACCTACCAGTAACCAGGTGGGACCCACTTCCAAGAGGGGATGCCTGGAGCCTCCAGACAGGGGCTGGAGACAGAGGCAAGAAGGAACAACACAGCCAGGAGCTGCTGAGGGGAGGCTGCAGAGCATCTCTTACCCATGCTGAAGGTGATGGCTCTGGTTCACTCCTCAAGAGCAGAGGTGCTGGAGCTGGAGGTGCAGCTTGCTGTCTGCCTCGCTGGAGTGGGTTGTGTTGTGCCAAGGCTGCTCCGAGGGGGCCATATATACAAGGTAAAGGGGTGGGGGAGAAAGCAACCTGCCAAGGGAGGAGCATCACTCCTAAGCGTTTGGGAGGTGCCAGATCACCACCGTAGCCTGTTTCCGCCTTGCCAACCACCAATCTTGGGGTAAAATCTGCTGCTCCATGCAGGTCTCTTCCTTAAACACAATCTCCTGTATCTGATCCTGGGGCTCTGGTGATTTTCAGTTGACTTCTCCAGTCTTCGGGGCCTCCAGATCCCCATGAGAAACAAGGTAATTAAAGCCACCCCCCATACCCAGCTTCCCACCATCCAAATGTGCAATGGCTGCAAATTCCAGGCAAGGGATGAGAAGCCCTCAGACCAGCAGCCCCACCAGCAGCCTCCTGCAGATTGCAAGCTTGGAGCACACTGAGCTGGACCCTGAAGGCACCATGGGCTCCCTGGGCTCAGCTCAGCAAGCCTGCCTCAGAGGGGCTTCTACCCCAAAAGAAGCCTTTCTGAGCTCTAAGGACTGCAAACTGGGGTGCAGCACAGGCTCAGGAGAGGGAGGGGGCTCCAACACACTGAAATCAGGTGAGGACCTGCTGACATCTCCCACACAGCTGGAAAACATCACTCTAGGAATGGGTGCCTCCCATAGTTCCATACAATCTGTGCAGCACCTACAAGGTCAAGACCTGCTGCTGCCTCTCAGGGTGGCATCTCCATATGGGAATGTCAGCCCAGCTCCAGCAAATGGAATCTCTAGGATTCAGGACAATGCAACCAAGTAGAGCAGTGCCTGAGCACTTCCCTCCTCACCACTCTGGTCAATGGGCACCCTAAGCCCCACTGCAGGCACTAACACTGCAAAGCACCTGGCACCAGTGCAGTTGAGTTTCATGCAATGGACTCAGCTGTCAGAGAACACCCAGGGGAAGAGCAGAGATCTCTGGTAAAGGGCCTGAGGTGTTGGAGAGAAGAGGTTTAGGAGAAGGGTCCTCTCCTGACATCCCCACGAGCCTTGCTACCACCGGCTGCCAAAGTAATGCAGGAAGAAAACGCCAAGCACCATAGATCATGAACAAGTGTCACATCGTGTGGCAGAACTCCTCAATCAGTGGGCACATTACATGGGATAAGTAATTGCTCCAATGCTGGAATGCAGAATCATCTGACAGCACCATTAAGGAAGCCCTTGGGAGATCTCTATCATAAGAGCAAGCCTGTCTCACTGGGCTGTAATTAATGGATCTCTGGTTCCAGAGCAGCACTTTAACATGTGGCAGCACACAGCAAGCAGCCTGCACCTGGCTCCAGTGCCAACCTATATGCAGTTTCTTGCCTAAGCAGTGCATTACTCAGGTACGTGGCCCACTTTTCCACGTGCTTTGTTTCAGACAGTGGAAGAGGGCAAAATGTCTTGGTTTTCCATGCAGGCTTGTCCTCCCTCCTTCCCCAGAGAGGGGAAATTTCAGTTTCCAGAATGGCAGGATACATGGCTCTAACGTGCTCCAGGCACCATGGACCGGAAGATGCTCACTGAAGGCTATGCAGGCCTGAAAGGAGGATGCAGCCGCAGCTTTGGTCCAGCAATGAGAACTACAAATCCAGCTCAGACCAGCAGCAGAGACAGGCCAAAGGCAAAACAGAACACAGCACGCAGGAGCATAAGCTGAGCTGGAGACTCAGCAGGAATCACATGGAAATGAGGCCCTGGCTGGCATCTCTATAATAGAATGAAAGGGAACGAAAGGAGCAGCTCCATAGCTGGAGCTAACTGTCCTCCTCAGGCCAACTCAAAACAGCCTTGCCCTCTTCCCTGCACAGAGCTCATCACTGCTCTCCCATGCTGCTCTGAGTCCATGAGAGGCAATTTCAGGTGCTCAGCTGATGCCTTCTGACCATGCTCCTGCTGTCACGATGTGCATGGCTCACTGCACCATCTTCTTGGGCCTGCACACCCAGTTATTAAAAACTTCATTAGCCTTCCACTCATTAGCTAAGTTAGCTGGTCATCCTTGTTGGCCTTCCTTGGTGACGTCTTTGGCATCCCTCACAAAACCAAGCTGTGGGGTGTAGAGTTTTCTAATTAAAACTGATAGTAGGAAGCATAAGAGCAGGCTCAGCAGCACCAGCAAGCGATGGTTAGCGGAGAACACAATCACTGTGGTCTGCTCTGGGCCTGGGGAAAGCTCCCCATGATGGGCAGAGATGGGAGGCCATGACATGGAAAAGCAGTTGGGGCTTCTCAGGAGAGCCCACACTGGGCCAGCAGCTGCTCCCCTCCTCTTGCCCATTTCTGCCAGCCCTGATAGGGAAGGACATGCTATAATTTTGATAAACAACTAATCATAGAATAGTTAGGGTTGGAAAGGACCTGAAGATCATCCAGTTCCCCCCCCTGCCATGGGCAGGGACACCTACCACTAAACTATGGCACCCAAGGCTTCATCCAACCTCGCTTTGAACACTGCCAGGGACGGAGCATTCACAACTTCTCTGGGCAACCCATTCCAGTGCCTTACCACCCTAACAGTAAAGAACTTCTTCCTTATATCCAATCTAAACTTCCCCTGTTTCAGTTTGAACACACTACCGCTTGTCCTGTCACTACACTCCCTAGTGAAGAGTCCATCCTCAGCATCCTTGTAGGCCCCCTTCAGACACTGGAAGCTGCTCTGAGGTCTCCACGCAGCTTCTCTTCTCCAGGCTGAACAGCCCCAACTTCCTCAGCCTGTCTTCATACAGGAGGTGCTCCAGCCCCTGCTCATCCTCGTGGCCTCCTCTGGACTTGTTCCAACAGTTCCACGTCCTTTTTATGTTGCACACAATGCTCCGGGTGAGGTCTCACAAGAGCGGAGTAGAGGGGCAGGATCACCTCCATGACTGCTGCTCACGCTCCTTTTGATGAAACCCAGGATACGCTTGGCTTTCTGGACTGCGAGCGTACACTGAAACTGGCTCATGTTCATTTTCTCATCGACCAACACCCCCAAGTCCCTCTCCTTGGGCTGCTCTGAATCTCTTCTCTGCTCAACCTGTAGCTGTGCCTGGGATTGCTCCGACCCAGGTGCAGGACCTTGCCCTTGTCATAGTTAAACTCCATGAGGTTGGCATCAGCCCACCTCACAAGCATGTTGAGGTGCCTCTGGATGGCATTCCTTCCCTCCAGGGTATCAACCGAACCACACAGCTTGGTGTCATCGGCAAACTTGCTGAGGGCGCACTCAATCCCACTGTCCATGGCAGCGACAAAGATGTGCAACAAGACCGGTCCCAGCACCGATCCCTGAGGGACGCCACTTGCTGCTGGTCTCCAGCTGGACATTGAGCCATTGACCACAACTGTTTGCGTGCGGCCATCCAGCCAGTTCTTTATCCACCGAGTGGTCCATCCATCACACTGATGTCTCTCCAATTTAGAGACAAGGATGTCATGGGGGACATCCTTGGCATATAATGGGCAGCACAAGGTGATGTAATGCAGTGAAGACTGGCACAGCACACTCAGTGAGGCAGGAGGAGTCCTTGCTTACACCAGGGACACCACGTCTGCGCTAAAGACCCAAGCAAGAACCACAGGGTGCTCAACACCTTGGTACAAGCTTGGTCCAAGCCTGCAGGCTGGAGGCACATCACAGACCAAAGGCAAAGGCTGGTCCAAGTGCCTGACTTTGCAAAGCTCAGATCCATCACCCCGGATCTCTCCATCACCTCACTGAGCAGGTACAAACCAACCATCACAGGGCTGCACACGCAGAGCCCTTCAGCTCAGCACTTCAAGAAGCATCTCCATGTGCAGGCTGCAAGGTCTGCTGCAGGGGACATGAGCATTGCACAACTCCACTTCTTGCTCCTCCAGGCACCTCCATGCCTCTTCTCCACTACAGTTTGAGCAGCCCCTTCCCCTCCACGGGAGCATTTGCTGTTGGAGTAGAAGTGGCAGGGCAGGGGGCAGAAAGGCCTGGCCAGAAGCAGGGTGGCAGTGGGGTGCTGATCCAGCCCTCCCCAGGCCAGCCCACGGCTACGGCCGGGCAGAGCCCTGCGGCACCCACATCCTCACGTTGTGATTTCAGACAGCGGGTCATGAGCACTGACTCCTCGGTGGCCGCTGAAGGGCTCTGCCCCCCGCAGCCACAGGGCATGGACCTGAGTCACTGCCCGGGCAGGCGCTTTTCTGCCGCATCAGCTCCTTCATCCAGCTCCTCCCACAACCGCAGCATGGCTCCATCTGACACCAGAGGAGTGGCAGCACCACGCAGCCGGGGAGGATGGATGAGCAGGACCTGCTGCTTCTCCTGCTCCAGACCTCTGCTGGCACACAGGCACTGGCACCCTCCCTTGAGAGTCCCTGCGAGCACTGCAGAGCAGACTCCCAGCTTGTCACAAGTGACTTTGATGCACTGAAGGAGCTGGTGATCACACCAGGATTACGGGTGCTGAGCAGTTCAGCTGAACATTCCAGGTTCCTCTCCAAAGACTCATTTACACTTCTCTCTATACACCAAAGAAGCCACTTGCTACACCCTTAGACTCAAACATAGGAGCTCAGGCTTCATCAGAGGATGAGAGACCTCAAGGTAGCAGACCAAAAAATAGTGGGTTTAATGGTGACCCTCATCATGACTGCTCTCACTTCACTTAAGCAGAAACTGTTCTCCACTCTAATTTCCCAGCTACGGTCAGTGGTTCTGGTAAGCTTCACAACACCTTCCCCCTCCAAAATGCCCCAAAATGTAGGTAATTTGGTTAATGTCTGAAATTCTGAGGTCAGTTCCAACAGCCTCTGACTGTGGTACTGACCATGACTGTGCCCCCTCAGAGTCTTCCTTATAGCCAACAAAGGTGCTGTCGACACAGTCAGGCGGGTCCATGGCAAAGCTCACCTTGCCCTGAAGCAGACCCAGACAGGCATACATACAAAGATACATACAGCACTTCATTAGAAGACACTCAGATTCAGGGGCATTTCCAACTGGGATTTCAGGATGGGACCCAGACTGGCGCGCTCACTGTAGCTGGAATGAGAGTCTTCAGCCACCATGCGATATACTGATGGAGTGAGAAGAGGCCTGAGGGCCACCCTCACCAGCAAGTTTGGATTTGTGGAAAATCATGACCTAAAATTACAAGTAGAGTGAGAGAAACTCCTGGATTTAGTTCCGTGCTGCACAAAGCCAGGCTGCAGGCTGCCCTCACGTGGCCATGTGGAGGATGCACCTTCTCTAGTGGAAAACGCTCAGTACAGGAAATAGGTGAGAAAAAATTATATGTTCCAATAGTACTGACTGGTAGCAAATGATTTCCTAACAAATTAATGACTTTCCTGGGCAATGTGAGATAGCTGAGACACTGAGCACTCGCTGTACCCACTCAGTGTGGACTGTTAGTAGCATTTACACAGGTTAGCAGTGTATACTCCATTCTTGGAACCAGCCCCTTTGTAAGGAAAACAATGCAAGCAAGATGCTTTAAACATTACCTATTTCCAACAAGAAGCTGCTCAAAATGGGTTTTTCCATCAGATACAGGTGGCTACACCACCAGGTCAGTTGGAAAGCTTTCTGGCTTCATAAGCTCCTACCAGAGCTTCTTGTAACAGGTTTCAAAGAGACCCAGTGGCAGCATCCCAACGTTAAAAACACAAAACTGGACTCTCCAGCCTGGTTCCAAATACGTTTAGCAAGAAAGTAAGCAGCTATGTACAGAATGGAGTCTTGATTACAAAGCAGGATCTGTCAAGCTAGATGAAGGTTTTGCTGTGGAAGCACAGAAGTCAGAATAAACTCAAGCAAAAGGCTCCAGCAGAAGTGCCATCAACGTGAAGCTCCTGCAATACCACTGCTGCGATTCCAGCGTTACAACTGGCAGTGCTAAAGCTCAGCAGGGAACAGAAGATGGGAAAGCAACAGATCCAGAGAGGCAGCAAAGAGAATCAGACCCAGAAAACAGCTTAGGGAAGATGCATCAGGAACTGGCAAGAGGAGAAAGGCTGGACTTGTGGGCGTCTGTCTGCTCTAGACGCTGCAGACATGGGTCAGGCACTGCTGGTGGCATTGCCTGGCTCCAGCACAGTGTGCACAAAGGGGTTGTGCAGATCCCTTCACTCTCAGAAGATGGAAGAGAATCTTTGTTTGCAATAATGGCAACAAAGGAGGCTTCAGTGAAAATAAATTCCTCACCAAAGAATTTGCAGATGAATAAGACTGTTACTTCCTGAAATGACCTTACATTTGGAAATACCCAAATGCTGAAGAGAAAAAAGATGTGCAGCTCCATCTGGCTTGAAGAATGCTTTTATTGTTGTTTTTTTATAACATCAGTGCACAGACGTTAAAATATAACCCAAGTCCAGAAGCATGTGACTTCAGATTAGATAGATATGTATGATTTTTATGCTGTGTCTGCTGTAAAGCATCAACTACTGTATGAGCACATTACACTTTGCAGGGACAGAACACTCTTGCTCAGAGACAAGCCCATGGAATGTATCCTTCTTATGGAGCTGTTTAGGAACAGCTTCTTCACCAACAAACAGTGGCAAGGCAAATTAGCATCAAACAAGGCAAATAAGCATCAAACAAGGCAAATAGCCTTTAAAAGCTGGTGACCTCGGCCTTGAAACCACAGTCAACAGTGATTACACAGGACCTCGTGAAAGGGGAAGGAGGAGAGAAAATGAGCTGGAGATCATGTTTCAGAGAGATTCACTTGGCTGCCTCAGAATGAGAAGAAAGTGGAGCTTCTGTGGCTCACCCTAATGGAAGTCTAAATATAGACAGTGGATAAAGTTCCAGCTGACCCCATTCACCTTTATAAAAGGGGAGAGTAAAGAGGAAAGAGGAGGAGAAAGAGGGGGAAAAACCCAAACACAAGCCCCCCAAAAAACCAGCAACAACAACAAACCCCCTGAAACCAGCTCCAGACAACCATTACATCCAGATATCAGAGGTACAGTCTCCACCAGGGTAACGAACCTCATGAGCCAGGGCAGGCCCATCAGGTTCCTTCCCAAAATCCACTAGGAAGTTTTTATTCACTTGCAATCCACCTTTTTCATTATCCACATCAATCTGCAGCATAACAGAGCCTTCCCTGAAAAAGGGACAAGAAAACAGGTATTGGGAAAAGGTTTCCTTTTTGTTGCTCTTCCACATTTGGGCAAGATCTGTCTTTGTTTAATACAAACCAGAAAGAAACCCTGATACAAAATGGGACTTTTGAAATCACTTAGCCGATCTCAAAAGTGAGTTACACCACCTCAGTGAAACTGCAGCCTCAGATGAGCAATGAATGATTGCAAATAAATAGCTGTTGTTACTTATAAAGGAATAGGGAAGTGCACTATGCCCTCCTGTGGCCATCTGGCACATCATCTTCTTTCCTTAGTTCAGAAGAACAGAAAGCTGCGCTGGTAACACTCAAAGGCAGCTCGGAAGTACTACAGATTCCAGAGGGCTAGGTCAGGTTCACTGGTTTCTTCCCATTCTCATCTACTTCCAAATAGGTCCCGATTTCAACAAACTGTGTGTGCACACCCCAACTTTTGTGTGCCTATTGAGAAGGGGCGGATTCTGGCGAGTGGGTAACACATCTAGGTTGGTAGGCTGTGGATAAAGTGACTAGGTTTAGTCTCCCTGGGTGGGAACTCTGCTCTGTGCAACAGCTGGCATGTGCATAGCACTATATGAGGAAGAAATCTTGCACATGGGCTTGTGCAGTCATCCCTGTTTACCAGAGTTCTCTTACTTGACAAGATCTGGGTAGAACTGCTTGTCCCATCCACTGTAGAGAGAGTTGGTGACATATAATCTCTTCCCATCCAAACTCAGCTGAAGCATTTGAGGTCCACCTCGCACCCTCTTCCCCTAAAATCGTAATAGAGAACCAGGTGCCTAAGACAAGGCTGCCACAGACATTGAACAAAAGAAATGCAACAGCAAGGAGAAACAAAAGAGCACAGCAGTTCTGCTCCTGGTAGAACCATCCAGAGCTCCGAAATCCTCCACACAGCAGCACCAATCTCCCTATTTTAGAGAGGGAACAGTTTTTATTGGGAGTCTTCCTCCTTACTAACAGGGAGCCTTGAAGCCATTTCAGAAGAATTCCACTTCATTCACAAGACTAGTAATGTAAGAAAGTAAGGGCTGAAGGGTTCAGGTCACTGTACTTGGGTGGAAGTGTCAAAACTTAAGCAAAGGGGTGAGTGGCATAACACAGCTGCTCCAAATTAGAACAGGTCTCTGCTGCAGCTAGGGCACAATCTGCACGAGGAAGAAAAGGAGTATGTGGATCTTCCTAAAACTGCCTTCAGTGGCCAACACATCTTAGTCATGTCTATGTTCAGTTCTTGCATATCCTGAGACTTTCCACAGGTAGCTGCCTTGATAGTAATAATATTAATGCACACTGATAATGACCAGAGGCAATTAATGTTCTTTCATTTTCTATCACGACGCCAGGTGCCATCAAACTCTTTACACACACACAGACACGCACTCCCCAACCCTGCAGAATGAGCTGGGTTAGTGCTTCACACATACTGGGAGACTCCCAGCAGCAGTGATGGCAATGTGATGAATGCACACTACATTAGCTTTAAATTAGCTAGCTAACAACAGCAGGGAAGATGCAATTACACAGGCTTCAGACGAGTCAAACAGCTTGTCCAATTCCACCAGGGACCCAGAACACTTACCAGAATTCACTAGCTCCAGCCCCTGCTGAGATGTGGTACCTGCCCAGGCTGAAAGCCAAGCCACAAACTAGCTCAGATACAGCTCTGTATGTCCTACGTTTGTAGGGATATGTTAAAATGGATCACAATTAGCAGAGCACTGAAAACATGCATATGAGGAAAACTTACTTTGAGCACAAATGGCTCTGGCTGACACTGCAATTCCTTGTCTTCCACTACAGTTACAGGCCCACCTTTTGTGATGCTGCCTCCCAGAAACACCTGTAACCAAGGGAATGGATGAGAATAGGCACCTGCTATCATAAGAACACGAAAGACAATTCTCAGGCAAAAGCAAATTGTCATTTTCTTCTTTTGAAAAAGACAGGAACAAGCAGACTGGGCTGTCCTTGTACGTGGCAGCTTTGCTGCTGCTGCCTCACCTGCCCCACCAGCTTGGGCTTGCGGGTGTTGGAGATGTCGTACTGGCGGACGTCCCCGTGCAGCCAGTTGCTGAAATACAGGAACCTGTCGTCCAGCGAGATGAGGATGTCAGTAATAAGACCTTCAAGAAAACAGTCAGCAGCAAAGTCAGGAAATGGACAGGCCCAGCAACAAACAAGACCACGAGTCTATTATCTTTCCAAATTCTAGTCACAGCAGCCTCAGAAAAATCAGTAAAGATATGGTTTGAACAAACACAATCATCCTTGGACACTTGGTGCCTACTCAGAGGAGCTTCAGGCTCTACAGCATTCCCAGGACCACTCCCGTGAGCTCATGCTGAAAGAGCCAAACTCCAAGTGTTTTTCTGACCTCAAGCACTGAGTGGTGTGGGAGCAGATGGGTCTGATGATCTACTCGATGGCTTGTAAGCAAGGCTAATTTGGTGACACCAGAAGTGTTACACAAAGAACCCAAAGAGAAATTCAGTATTTTGCAAGGAAGTGTTTGCTATTTAAGGATGAGATTTTGCAGAAAGCTCCACTGAACCAGGGAACTGAAGAGGGCAACACATCTCTTCTGCAAACACACTCACCAGGCATGTCAGGGAGAAGCCATCCCTGCACCTTCTTGCTGGGGACTTCAATCACCTTCTCTGCTGCCCAGTCTCCTTTCTGCAGAAAGCTCAGGAGAGACCACAGCATTATTAGTGCCTTGATGTTAGCCAAGAGAGCTCAGCTATGCAGGACAGAGGGAGGAGAAGCAAATAGTGCTGTTTATTTAACAGGTCCTCTACACAGGGGGTATGCACACCGCAAGCATTACCAAGGGGTGAGGATGGTAACTATTACTGCCAGTTATGCTTATGCTATGCAACAACATCTCAGATTGCTGTAACAGTAGCAGAACTAAAACCCCTAATCACCTGTAGCTTGGTGTCCCACCCCTCTCCAGCTCACCCCCTACTCCCCTGCTCATGAGCCCACCACCTTCCCTCCTTTCTCCACCTTCCAAATACTGGCTGAGCAGCAGGCAGCACACACTGGCACTGGTGACAAGTTTCACAGGTTCTGATCAGTTCTCCAACTGATGCACATTTGTGGAGCAGCTCGCAGGCCAGAAAGCAAGCCGTTGAGCTAATGCTGTAGCCCTTTCCTCAGTGCAGGTGCTCATCAGACTTTCATAGGTCATTCATGGCGATTAAATTGATCAAGAAGTTATTGTGAAGGGTGGGGGTGTTGGAAGTGGGGCTGACAGACCAGCACCATGACCTCTTCAGCTTTGCTGCCTTTCAGGATCAGGCTGCTGAAGATTTGCATCCTGGACATAGCAGAGGTACTCAGAATGCAACTGCTAAAGGTGAGGGACTATCCAGCAGCTTCAGAAAGTTACAGCACTGGCTTCAAGGCACACTGTCATGTGTCAGGTTTGCTCTCTGACACAATCATAGAATCATGCAATAGTTTGATTTGGAAGGGACCTTTAAAGCTCCTCTAGTTCCAACCCCCTGCCATGGGCAGGGACACCTTCCACTGCAGCAGGTTGCAGCAAGCCCCATCCAACGTGGCCTTGAACACTGCCAGGGACAGGGCAGCCAGAGCTCCTCTGGGCGCCCTGTGCCAGTGTGTCACTGCTATAGCTTGGCTAGAATTAGACTGGAATTGAGAGCCATAATATTTTTAATCCAAATTCTACTATTTCCTAAGTGACTGGAAGCTTTCTGAAACAGTCTCTGTGTTTGCCATGGCTTTCATTGCTTACCTCTGTCTTGTAGAACCGATGAACTGCAGCACTCAGAGCACATCCCACAAACCCTTCTGCAGCATCCGGATTGTGGAGGAATCGAATCTCCAAAGGTATGGAGCCCTTCCCTAAGTCAATTGTCTGAATGTAGGTGTGAGTGCTCCAGTCCCACACGTTAATGTGGCCACCATAATGCCCTACCAGATCAGGTCAGAGCAGAAAAAGCACAGAATATATTATTTTATCAAAGAATCATTTTTACTTTTGAGAGTTTAAACAAATGCCCCCTTACCTTTCTCTATATCAGCTGGGTTAAACCCATCTACCAAGGCTTTTGGGGCTCCCCATTCAGTGCTCATCAGGACATTGTGCCGTGGCTGGTACCAGAAGTCGTAACCCAGGGAAGGCACCTTCTTCCCATTCTCCCAATTTCCTTTCACTTCAAAGGTCTCTCCATCCAGCAATATAAAGCTACCTGATAGAAACACCAAATACATTTGTCTGAAGACATTCACAGAAGTTCACAGCTTTAAAAATGCTTTTTTAAGCTTCAGTTTGCCCTGTTTCTGCTCATAATAACAATAAATCTGCCAGCCCTTCCAGAGTTCATTTCAATTAAGGGATAACTTAGAGAAGATCCTGGAGGAGTCACCACTGGTTTTCTTTGCTTGCCATCAGTACCCTTGAATTATACAAACAGTATGCATCTATTCAAGGACGCGTTTGCCCACAATCTAGAAGAGAAAAACTCTCTGAAAAGGAGCAGGGTTCCACCACTTAACCCCCGAGGTATATTTTTTCTAATAGCTAATATTTCTCTCAGATGTCAGGTGGTTTACACCTGCATAGGTACCAGAATTTATATGCAAGAATCCCTCAAAAGTTTTAAACAAGAAATGCAACCTATAATGGCCTGAAAGGTTAATTTTCATTAGAGACAAAGAGGATTTAGGTTGGCAACAGCATCTCTCATACCCAAGCCACCAATACTGAGCTGATGCAGACTGTTTTCCAAAGCAATTCTTCCCTGCTCCAGGCTGAAGTGACCAAAGTGAAATGTTAATGGGTTTCCTGCTCATACTATAACCACTAGAGTTGGTCTTCTTTACTAATATATGCAAAAGCCTGAGGCCTGGAAGCTGAACTCATCAACAGTCCCATTGATATTCCTCTACATCAGGTCTGAAGTGCAGAGCAGTGACCATTCAGCTTACCTGGGGGGTGATATTTTTATTCCAGCATTAACCATTCCAGGAGCTGTTTGTTGATGTGCATAAGAGAACTGTAAGCACTGACAAATTCTAACCTTGCAGCTTGTGCTTTGGGAGCATGATACTTCTATACCGTGAGCACTTTCCTAGAGTAGTTAAAGAGGACTAATACCTTTTCCATTGCCAGAAGGGTCTCCCAAACAGCTGATTAAGATGTCACCACTGCCCAGACAGTGAGAGGTGTGAGGATTACCCGCATTACCCTTCTGGTATAACTCCACTGACTCAACAACCTAAAATGAGTATACACATAGTCACAGTTACCTCCATGGAGCTCACTTAGACAACACCAATTCACCCCTAGGAGTTCAAGTTTCACAAAAGGAAGGGAAGGGGGAAATCTTTGAGGCATGTCAGAGGCTCGGTTTGAAACAAAATTCACTGAACAGGGAAAGACCTTAGGGGGAGTTATCCACTGCATTAACAGTCACAGGCAGACAAGGTTCTACAGAACTGAAAGACTATGAATGGGAGTATTTGCTGGCAGGTGGGGTGGGACAAAGACCACTGAGAAGTTTCCTTTCATTCCACATTATGATCTGTACTGAAGTTTCCCTGACCAAGTACAGATGCTGACAGTGTATGTATTTACATCTCAGCTAATCCTCTCTGCCTTACAGTCAGTGAAAACAAACGCTCCTGAGACACAATTCCTTTACCCTAAACCAGTTTCTAAACCAGGTTAGACAAATGTGACTCCAGCAGTGCCTATTTTTTTTCACTGACTGTAAAGGGAATCTAACCAGTTAGACATGAAAAAGTGTAAGTCTATATCCTAACCTCTATCTATGCCAGTATCTGGATCTATAAAATCATTGTCTCTTGGTCAAAACGTATGAAACAAAACCCCAGCTTAAAGTCATGTAAATATACCTTATGGATTCTAGGAGCTCGCATGTCTGTTCCCACATCCACCACGTAAATTCGAGAAGAGATCAAACTTGGTAGAATCAGGCGGTTCCTTCTCTTGGTGGCATCCCCAAAGCAGCTGCTACAGGCGTTCCACCCTGAATGATGGAGCTCATCATTCAGATTGGGCATGGGCAGGCGATGGATCACCTGCAAAGTCAGAGACAGGCTTCACATTCAGTTTCATAGAGTTTTCCCCTAGGCAAAAAAAAATGAGCCTTTATGTCAAGGCATAAATTAATAAAGAGCAGAAGGAAACTGCTATTTGTTAGTCAGGAAACAGATTTTAGCCTGAGATATGCAGAGCTGAAGCTGTAAAGTAGGAGAAGAAAGCTGGACATCATGATTGCACAGCATTTGTGAAATGCTGCGTGCCATTAAGTGAATTCAAATCTTTAAAAGACTAACTAATTTAGGAGACATGCAATAACAATAGGGCAAAAAATACAATAGAAACACCAGAGCCATTCTACACACAGGTACCTGACAGTAGTGTGGAGATTTGGGATCAACATCCACAGTGGCCAGGTAGTCAGGCTTCTCTATCCCAGTGTTCCTGTAGATACAAGGCAGGTACACAATCTCCTCCCGGGGACCTGTCAAGGCAGAAGTCTTGTAAAAATGGTTTCTTTTGACACATTAAAGAAAAAGCTGTGGTTAAGTGTAAGAGCATCTCCTCTGGATTTAAACTCTGTCTGTAAACTGGGTTTCTTCCCAGGAAGCTGAACCTCAGCATTCCCATCTTATGGGGAAACACCACTAGTATGTAGTTTGAGCAGCCAGGAGTTGCCAAGAGCAAGTACTTATTCACTTTTGAGGCCTTTCCTTCCCTCACCCTCCTCACATAATAGGCTTTGGGGATGCAATGACTTTCCTGGAGAAGGACAGTGCTGGAAACCAGCTCCTACCCTGTGGGGCCATGTGGAGCCTCTCCCTTCCCCAGCTACAGAAGTGATGACTCCCAGCTGCCAGTGCCCAGAGCTCACTCTACCCATGCCAAAAGCCTACTTACTACAACCTATAAAACTGAGGCTTTTAAATTCCATCAAAGGACGTGAGGTGAAGTTCTGACACTATTACAATCTATAGCAAAATGCCTCAAGGGCTTTAGTGAGGGTCAGGATTTAGCCAGACACTGCTGGACAGAACAGAACACATCCTTAGTGCAGCTACAGGTGGATGAGAAGCTTGACACTAAACTGTGTCACACAGAATTCCCAACACTCCTTCCTCCTATTTTCCCCTTCTGTCCTAAAGAGTAGTTTGTTGTTATGAGAGAGTCTGAAGGCAGTCTGGGTTTAGAAAAGATGTGCTTACCTTTCATGGCATCCAGAGGAGTTGCGTATCCTGGGCCACATGCTCCACATTTTGCTGATTGGAGGGAAAAAAAGAAGTTCTTCTAATTACCAAATTATTTTCAAGCATCTCTCTAAGAGGACTTTGGCTTTGCATTGAGAGATGGACAAATGTTAGATCCAGTTTTTACACTGCCAAACACCTGACTCCAGTCATGCTGAGGTTACACACAATGTGACACGCCATGCTCAAGAATGATGGGAAAGTTAGGCCTTCATTTCCAGGAGTTCAGCCTCACAATTTGAAAGCACATTCATATATGACAAGGGTCTGGGATTTAAGAAAACTGTGTTAAATGTTTTACAGAGAGCTGCTGAATCACTGCCAGATGAGTAAGGAGACAGATGTGAACAGCCCATTTTATCACTGGAAAGGCTCCAGTCCCTCTCTGCACAGAAATGTCAAAGAAGTGGATAGTTTTGAGGATTTACAGCCTGAGTAAGAAGTGACACTGCAGGTGACCAGAAAGGACAGGGGAAGGGGAATCATCAACCATTCCACCTTCTAGTACAAACTCAGCTCCCCACCTTTACTCTCATGCCACTCTTACCTCTGCTCTGTACCAGTCTGGATCCTAATCAACACAGAAGTTGTGCTAAACCAGCCTTCAGTACAGTAGAGATTCCTACTCCAACACAGTCACAGCACACACATGCTCAGGATTGCATCAATACATTGTTGGCTAGAATTAAGAAACTACTATCCTGAAATACTGCTTTAAGGGGCAGTTACAACATGTTGCAAGTTTATAGGCTCAAGGGATGCACAGAAACCTCTACTATTCTTGAGCCATGGAGCTGCAGGGCTACTGGACACCGTGCAGGAAGCTTCTGCTCCATTCCTAACTGGGACCAGGATATAGTCGGTGTTCCAAGCACAACATGCAGCAGTGCTGTGCAGCAGGACAACAGTGTACTTTTCAATGTGACACAAAGTGAAATGCATGTTGACAGAGACAAAACCATAGTACAGATGCCTCCCTCTGTACCTCCAGTGTCTGTAATAAAAAGCAGCAAACTAGGTAACTATTTACCATTCTCCAATACTCAAAGAGAGTGTGATGGCATCAGAATACCCCAGATCTCAGATTCCAAATGCAGAGGCAGTGACAGCTCCATTGCCCGTTTCGTTAGGGAGCCTGCCTCTGAAGGCGAAATGCTTCAAGCAATCCATTGACTGTACATGGAGCCTCATAACCTCACAGACAGGGTCTTCTCAGAAAGAGCAATTCAGTACTTTAGGTTACATTTCACCTGCTCTGTGGAGCAGTTTTATCTGGAAACACAAAATAGAAAGTTTGCTTTGTTCGGTTTATGTCTAAGCCATAACTGAAACTTTCTTTCCATTTTCTCAATCACCAGCACTGGCAGGAGCTCAGCTGGCATCAGACCACAGCTCCACGAGCATTGCAAATGCAGTTTTGTGCAGATCCCTTTGAGAAAAAGATTATTTGTGCCGAATTGTTTTCCAGAGAAAACACACAGCAAGACACTGGACGTTTTATCTTCCTGCTTCTTGCAGACATTTGTTTCTCCTTTCCCTCTGATCTTGCTCAAACCCTCTTTTATTCTGAACCATTGTACCTAACTGCCTGAAGATACACGTGGATGAAGCAAACTCCATGCCAAGCTCATTTGTGAGCACAAAATCAGGGGTTTGACACGAACTGTGATTGTATCACCTTGTAGCAACATGTTAACAATAACATTTACATTGCTATGTTCATAATCCAGGGTTAAACATTATAGTATTGCTATGTTCTAGATCCACCCTTGACCTGGCGGCTGACCCAGCGTCCTGGACACCAGGTGCATCACACACACGTGGTTTGGGGACTCCTGCACCAAGACCCTTTTCCTGCAGCACACTGCACCTTCCCAGGCAAATCCTCTCACCCCCAAGTCCACCTTCCTCGTCTTTCTAAAGCAAAGAACATTTCTCTCTTGGCAACAGCTCTGGTGTGAGTTTACCAGGAAGGGCACATGCATTTAACTGTGACTGCTCTGGGGTACAATTTTCCTTTTTCCATAAAGGAAGTTCCAACAAGACCCATTCCTCCAAACTCCTGTGCAGTTACTGTATATACAGCTGCTAAAAACATACCTGCTCCTTTTGTTCCCATTGTGGGTGCCTGATAGAGCTCAGTTTCACAAAGGGGTGTAGGAGAAAGGTGGCAATAAAGTAGCCACCTCTTTTGAGAACTTAAGAGTTGGGTGGCATCAATCTGGGCCAAACTAAGCTGTTTGGAGAGCAAACAGAAAGTTCTCCAAAATCACAGTGCCTGCCTGGGCTCAGCACTGACCCACTGATAGAGGGGGGGGGGCAAGTAAATGTGGTTTATGATTGTACTGAAAGAACACACAACTGGGAGGGGTCAGAGTATCCTATGGACACGGCAAGACACAGGCCTTACAGAGCGACAGGGAGAACAGCCACGCTTCCTCACTGCAATCCAAGTAACAAATCATGCAAGCAGACTTCAATGATCTGTTAAATATTTGAAGAGCAGCCCAAGATTTGGACTTCTACAGTGCCAAGGGCACTCCAAACCGCGTGACTGAGCCACCGCCTCCTGCTGCTGGAAGCTTTAAGGTGCGTTACTGACCTGACTCCTTATCCACTGCCCAGAGACTCCTTACACGCTGCAGCACGCAGGGCACGGGTAACAGAGTGAAACTTGCAGTGTGTTAGAAAGCAAAGCAAAGCAAAACTCCTTTACTGTGTAGAGGAAGTCCCGACAGAAGCACAGGAAGACAAACATGCACCCTAGGCAGCTAAACCAGACTGGACACTTCTGCTGAGTCAGACTCACTGTTTGTATCCCTGCAATAAGGGCTTTTTTTCACTAAGGTCGACAAACTTACCCTGGCTTGTGAACCCCCTCTTGCATGTTACACAATCATACATGCAAAAAAGCTTCCAGGTATTTTAGCCCTTCCCTCTCTTTCCTATTCATGTATTCAGCAATGAAAGTCCACAAAAAATGACACTGTCTATCACAAAAATACCAGCAAAACATTAAATTCTGGCTCCTGGCTCCCTGGCACCTTTCCCAAGCGTCGTTCCTGTTCACAGTTAAACCAGAGCAGCAAGTCCAAATCTTGTTTCAGCCTCTAAATACAGAGGTACTAAAAGAGACATTTAATGAGAGCATAAAAGGCATTTACTGAGAGCACTAAAGCTACTTATTTAAAACCACAGGGGCTTTCAATAGCTTAAAGGGGTAAAGCTTTTACCAGGCAGAGGGAACGCGGAACCTCAGCCCCAGAGCTCTCCTGACCAGGTCCCTCTGGCCCCTGGTTAGCTGCACAGCGCAGAGCTGCAGCCACAGCACCAGATCCCAGCTGGATCCTTACCCATGTCGGAGGGGCCGCTCAGGGCTGTTGGGTGAAGCAGAGCTGCCTGGGCTGGAGTTGTGCGCAGTGAAGCTGCTGGGAGAGGGGCATATGTGCAAGAGGGAAGGGGCGGGCAGGACTGGGGAGAGCTACTGCCAAGGGGAGGATCCAGAGCAGCCGGAGCAGGCACGGAAACTCTTCTACTTCCCGGGAAAGCTTGGAGGAACCTGGCACAGCTCCACCGGAGCAGCCTTTCGCACTGCTCCTCTCACATTCCAGCACTTCACGTGGGTGTTTTGTACCCAAGGAGAGCAAAGGAGGAAACACTTTGCGGTGAAAACCTCTTGCTTTGGGCAGGGTTTCAAGTTCTGGAGTCAAGGCATGCCCGGCCTAAGCACTGCTCTCAGTTGGGTCGGGTCTGGTAGGCAGCGTGTTCTTAGCATTTCATAGCCCTTAAAGAAGGCTCAACACTTGTCTGCTCAACACTTCACAAAACTACCTCTTAAAGAAGATCCTTTCATGGCTGGCAGCGGCCCCAAGTATTGGAAAATCTGGATTTCACTCTATTCCATTTGGAATTCTAAGCTATCCCCAGTGAGAATTAGTGTATTATTTCCCATTTATTTTTTAAAGGGCAGTGCTTTTTCCCCAGGCAATATCACCTTGGTCATTCCCAAGAGCAGACACCACATTTTACAACCCTCTCCCACTTCTCTGCTTCTACATGAGCCACCATGTACAGCAGAAACACTAAATGGTGCTGAAACCCTCCAACTACTGAGGCTGGTCCCTCCATTATGCCAAAAGGGTGTCAGGGAGCTCTGACAACCAACCTACAACTGACCATTCATTCACATTTATTTAGTGAACTGAGCCTCTTCTTCCTGATCCCAAAGTGGACAAACGCAGTCTGTTAACTCTTTACCTTCAGGCTATTGGCTCAGTGTTTTGTGTGAACAAATTACTGCCCCAAAATGCTTTTCCTCTCCATTCTCTGTCCTGTTCTCCACAGCTGCATTTGGGGATTTCAACTGACTGATGGTCATTCAAGTTCCACCTCTCTCATCCCATCTAAGGACGAGCTGCTTCACACAAAGGCATTGTTTTAAACCATGGATTTCTGTTCTTTTTGTCCCCAAGCCTTAGTGTTCATTGGAGTGTTCGTTCTGGTTGAGTCCCATGCCTATCTCTCACTCTTTCTGTCTTTTCCTCCTCAGGTACAGCCTTGTGTGTCCAACAGTTCCTTCCCTTCTTTGCACTTCAAAACACTACTTTACTACGCATAAGCTTGATGCAGTGGGTTTTTTTAAGCTGCTATTAAAAAATGTGAGTAATGTATTTCATAAATACACTACGTGAGACCCAGGAGACCCCATGAGATGCCAACTGAAGATCCACGCCAAGGAATCAGAGCTGTGCTCTTGAAGAACCCCACTGACGTCAACGAGACTCCAAGGCTGCACAGGGTAACACAAACATCACTTCTACTACAAGAGCTATGCCCTGCATTCTAGGCAGAGAGAGTGGGAATTCCATCATCCTCAGCAATGGCCTACTTCTGCTTCCAGCAAAGGCACCAGGAGTTTCAGCTCTTGAGGTCAGCAAGACCCATAAACCTTCTGTGCAAGACACTGCCTGAGAGGAGGGGAAGCACATCCCACCACCAGCACAGACACATGGAAGCTCCTCAGGCAATAATTTACTTCAGTTTAAACGACCTGAGTCAGCAGGGAACGTATGGGTGCTGAGGATGGAACCCACGTGGTGTTAAATCAGCAGTGCTCTTGGCTCACTTCTCATGCCGCTGGGGAGGCAGTGGGAGGCACTGCTCACCTCAGGATGTGTCTGTCACAAACACGGAGGAGTGAAGGGCCAAGACGGCTTTGTGCACCTCCACAGCCAGTTCCCTTTCAGCTCTCACGCCTGGGCTCCCCGTGCTGCAGCTCAGGCTCCTGGCAAGCACAGGCCTGATCTGGGTACCCTGCATTTAGAAACTACCCCATTAAAGTGGCATCAGGGAGCTCCACAAACACACTTTATCAAAGCACAATACTTTTATCAACACATCAGCAAGCCTTGAGCCATGGCACAGCTTTCTTTCCATGGCTCCCAACTCCACCTCATGCTTGAGCTCAGTCCTGGGTTGGTTCCAAGCAGTCTGACTAAGACAGTTTATCTACCCCGTTGTTCACATACCAAAGATTCCCAGCGCCTCACTCCTCTGCTCTGTGGATGTAACCCAACGCGAGGCAGTGCCAGCCCACCTTCATCAGAGCACAGACAGACACATACCATCCATCCTCACATCTGGCCCGGGGGGAATTGCTTAACAATTTGTTAGAACCTGGGAATAACCTGGTGAGAGCCAGCCTGCAGTTACCAAGAGCACATCATGCCAGCTTGTTTCTATTGTAAGTCTTTGATCCAAAGGGGAGAAGGAGAATGTATATCTTAGTCATAGTGAGAACTTTGATGTTGTGCCTCACACCTTCCTCTTAACTAAACATATAGCTTAGCCAAAACAACTGCAAGTTTGGTGTAAAGATACATCCAAAACTACAAACACTACCCAACAGAGCTGATTCACTGGAAGGATTTGTAACTCTGTAGAGGTCTACGATGCGTCCACAGTAACAAGTAATTTCACTACTGGGTCACATGTGTAATGCAGAATAGGCATATTACATCTACAAACAGCAGCAAAGTGGAGTATCAAGTATTGTGGACTATGGAATTAAAAAAACACAGAGAAATTTGGAAGTGGAGGGTTGTTTTTTTCTTCCCTGAAATAATGCCATTCCAATTAAAATTAGCCTGGAAGCTGGGAATGGCTAATGCATTTCAAACCAACCTTTCAGAATTCCTTTCTCAGTTTATTTAGCTGGATACTTGTTCCCAACTTCCACAGCTTCAGACACTGCAAAGCATCAGCATGGATTTACACCCGCACGGAAGCAGGTCTCCATGCATTAACTGATGGTCAGGTTGCCAAAGTGATCAGCTGTAACCCATGTGCCGATATCCTTCCTCCAGCCTCACTGGTATTTGCCAACCACATCATCGTTCTTTAAGGATATAGAAACCACTGCATCTACATGACAATCCCACTGGCAGCAGAGTCAATGTCAACACGTGGAAGAATAAATGATACATCTGACAACTTCCAAATTTTATCAAACTCCACAAGAGAGGTTTCTGTTAAACCCCACCAGCTGAAAGGAGCAGTTTTCCTTTTGCAGGGGCAATATGCTAAACCTCCAAGTTTATGGAGAGCTCATGGCTTGAAGCTGAAACAAGTACAAAACCCCACACATTTACTATGGTTAAGAATGCGTCAGAAATGTTGTCAACTTGGAGAGCCCAATATCTGCTTCGAGGTTGATAATAATGAAATGACAACAACCAGATGTTTAGAGAAACTGTAAAGGGAAACCTCAGCTGGGACTTGACAAGACAAACAAACCAATGATTCAAAAGACAGCTATTTTTATAGCCGCAACAGCTTCCTGCAGAGAAACAGCTTGATCCTGGGCCAGCTCCCAGAGTCCTGGAGGCCTCTAAGTCTAATTTTATGGAGACCTCCCTTGAGCAGGTTACCTCTGCAGTGGCAGGTTATTTGCAGGTAATACTGTCATTCTTTCTTATCACCTGCAAGTGAAAACTGGCTATGGCTCAACAGCTTTTTAAGGAAAGGAACCCACTCTTCAGCTGTATCTCCACTGCTCTGTTAGGCTCTCTGAAAAATACTGGTTAGAGACCCCTATTAGCCAGGCCATAACGTGCTTTAGTATCCCCTCAAGCTTGGATGCCCTTCACAAAGACATGAGCAGGGTTTGATCTGCCTCAGATCAAAAAAGAGAGAGAACTCACCAATGGTGATGTGATTTAAACCAGCTGCACTCTCCTGTCATTAACTGCATCTGAACTAGGTATCTGTAGAGCACTGGAGAAAGAGAAAAGCACCTGGTGAAGTTTTATGGCTTCTTTTCAAGACAAAAAACCAAACTTTGCTTTTTACCTTAAGTCTCAGAAACGCTGCATTTGCCCTGTTGCATTTGCAGGGAGGGAAGAAATCAAGTTTGGGATTAGCAGGTGGTAATTTTGTTAGGAATATAAAACTTCATGGGTAAACCCTTGCTGCTGTCCACATCTGAATTCTTCTTCCAAACCCGAGTTGTCCCAGACAATGCTGCTGTGGCTGCTCTTTGCCCCTTCCCTTAAGGAAAAAAATCACTTTCTATAGCTCCTGCTTCCAGATTATATTTTTTTGGTGGTGGTGGCTTTGAAAAAGCAAGTGAAAATTCCTATCATTATATTAAGTAATTAAACAATCCTCTATCTAAGGCAGAGGCTGCAGAGTGCAATCAGGAATACAAAGCCTAACGAGGGACAATGGTGTTTGTTATTCTTATCAGTGGCATAACCACAGAAGAGAATGCAGCCCTTCGTATTGCACATGTACATGATTTACAGGTGACAGAGTGTTAAGTGAAAGCACTTCCCTCCACCATGAGGTGAAGCAGCCTGGAGCAATGTTTAAACCAGGAAGAGTGCCTGGTACCTCCTGAAGACCATCAGGAGAAAATTAATGGGCTTGTTTAATGAAGCACAGAATAATAAATTACATTCCAGCAACACGTGGAGATCACAGCAAGGGGCTCCATTTGGGAAGCACTGCTTGGGAAGCACACTGCTCACCAAATTCATGAGTGTCTTCAAAATAAAGCAACATCTCAACGTATGCTGAAGACATAAATGTTAACAGGGCTCTGAAATGCATCCCTATTTTTTGTTACCTATGTTTACTACTGATACAAAGCATGTTGTCTGTCCTAACCACACAAGCTGCAGCACTCAGGCTGCACTGTGCAGTTACAGCTCTGTGTTTCAGCATTCCTGAATTACCCGCAATAATAAGCTCATCATTAAAGATATAATCACAGTAATAAGTTCATTATCAAAGATACTGCCCATTTGACTTTATGCTAGTGGAGAATGTTGATGATACGTTGGCTTGACAGTGCAGGAACTCCGATGGCACTGAGCCAGTGACGTACTTAAGCAAATGCATAACGTGAAGCATTTATAGAGCAACGCTGATTGTATTTGGATCACTTTAAATAAGACACTGGCTTCAGCACCCACTGAAGCAAAGCCCTCACACCTCGCACTCGCCGCCGTCCCGACTTCCAGGAACCTCCACAGCTTTATGGGAATTTAATCCTCAGCCTCCTCCTTGAGGCCATCCCCGAGGGATGCAACTTGTGCCAGCTTCTGAGAGGAGTCTGACAGAAGGGACATAAACCACAGAGATAAAGAATAGCTCCATCGAGTGTCTCTGCCACCAGTAAATGTACCTTCGGATTGTTCGGAGCCCCTGAGACACGCGGGAACGCTGCTGGCTTCAAACATAGATGGTGGGTTTCAGTCCCACAACCACACCAGCAGCGCGACCGGGCACAAAACATTAAAGACAACCAGGCAAAGGCGGCACACGCTTGGCTCCCGACAGCACCGTGTCAGGCACAGGAACAGCCCTGCAGGCAAACCATCGGCTCCTCATTACACCAGCAGCGCCACTATCTCTACCTACACTCACAGACGGCAGCCGAGACCGCGCAGCACCATCAGCCCACGGCCCTGGCGAGCCCAAGGCACAGGGAACGCTACCGGCGGGGGCGACTGCAAAAGGCACAGAGAAGCCGAGGAGAACGCCTGAGGCGGGGCTCGCAGGGGCTGGAGAGCAGCGCTAGGGCCAACCGCAGCCCCCCGCGTGCCCACGGCGCGCAGGACCCAGGCCTCCCCCGCGGCCCGGCTGCGGGACAGCCCTGACAGGAGGTCCGCGAGGTAGGCGGCGGTAGGGGCCGCCCAGCAGCCGCAGAGCCCCGGGCAGCACCGGGACCCCCCCCTCTCCCCGGCCCGGCCGTGGCCCCGGCCCTGGAGCAACCGCGCTCCGGCTCCCGACGAACTTCATCAGGGCCAAGGCCGCGGCCTCCCGCTGACGTCACCGCGCCGAGGGCCAATCCCCGCGCCGCCCCGCGGCCCAGAAGGAAATGACGTCACCGTATCCCTCCGCCGGCCAGGTCCCCTTTTTTTGTGTGTGTGTGTGTGTGGCTGCGGCGCGGCACGCGTGTATCCTCCCGCCGGGCGCGCTTTTTTCTTCTCCCCTCGCTGGGGCGCGGGGGGAGGCTGGGAGGGAGCCGGGCGCAGCTGCGCGGAGGGAAGCGGGAGCACGGAGCGGTCCCGTCACGCTCCTCCCGCCGCGGGGGCCGCGCTCGGGGCCCCCGGGCTGATGCCGCCCGCCCCCCCCCGGCGCCGGCCTCGTCTCCCGCAGAGCGGCGGAGAGCGGCGGGGGCGCGCGCGCGGGGCCCGCTGAGAGCGAGCGGCGGCGGCGGGAAGGTGAGGGGCCGCGAGCCGTTATTTGGGGGGGGGGGGGGGGGGGCGGTTTGGTGACCGTTGGAACCGGTTCGAACCGCCCGGGTCTGGGGGAGAAGGGGGGGGGGGGGGGGGGGGGATGAAGGGGAAAGGGGGGGGTGGGCTATGGCCGGGCCGGAGCGCGCCGTACACAAAGCGGCGGCGGGAGGCGGAGGGAGGGCTCGGGGGTGCCGAGGCGGGGGACGGGGAGGAGCCGCGGCGGGTCCCGCTGGGCGGCGGAGCGCACCCGGCCGCCGCTCTCACCCGCCCGCCCGGCCCCTGAGGGGAGGCGGAGGGATCCGCGCACACCCCCTCCGCTGCGGGGGGGGGGCGGTGAAGCGGTACCGGGAGCAGCTCCGTCCGCTCCCCCCTCCCCCGAACCCCCGGCGGCGAGCGGGGCCTTCCCCGGGGGGAAGAAGGGGGGGGGGCGGCCGCATCCCCCCGCCGTGCCTCCCCCTCCCCTGTCCCTCGGCTGGTGCTGGGTGGGCGGCCATGTTGGGCACGGGGATTATTTTTCTCTCTCTTTCTTAGCCGCCACAATGCACCCAGGGTGGGTTTTGCTTTCCCCTCGCACGAGAAATGCCCTTCTCGCCCCTTACCGGAGGGACGTTTAAGGGCGGGGGGAGCCTCTGCCGAGGGTGGGAGCCCCCCCTTGGCGTCCTCCTTCTCCGCCTTCACAGAGTGGTTCCCCCTCTCCATTACCTTGTTGTGTGAGGCCGAGGCGAGCTGGGCTTGCCAGCCTGCCCTCCTCCTCAGCGGTGGGCTCTGCCTGCCCTGCTGCCCGCTGCCGCCTTCGGTGTCATCCGCTGGTGACAAGCGGAGCACCTCGGAGCCGGGCTCCCTGCCTGCAGCCCCGGTAGGGGTAGGGGGGAAGTGTTCATTTGTTTCCTGGAGCTCGCAGGCCCTCTCCCTGTGCTTCCCTGCATGCCCCGTCCCCTTACACTGACAACGAACCCCCGGATCGCTCCCTTCCTTTGGCCAGCGCCTTTCCCCTGGTAAGCAGTGAGCCCCAGCACACCATTGCTGGGTCAGGAGTTCAGCTGAGTGGGCTCCCCTGCAGAAGGATTGGGATCCCTGGAAGGCTTTGTGCAGAATGCCCCACACCTGCTTCTTTTGGCTGCAGATACTGAAAAAAACAGATGTTTGGTACCATCAAGATGTTTGCTCTCCCCTTACTGTAGTCCTGCTCTTTGGAGTATCCAAGGAACCCAGGCTGCTGCATCAGGGCATCCTCACTCTCTGGTGCTCCGCTTGACTGGGATGTGGCATAAAACATGTGTGGAGATGAAGGAGAGGCATGGATCCTGCTGCCCAGCACCCTCGTGGAGAACATGCAACACATGACAGCACATAGAGCTTTATTTTTATTAGCTTGGCAGCAGTTGCAGCTGTCACCAGGACAGATCAGATGGGGCAGGAGTGAGTGGGGGTAGAGGATAGGGGGATATGTTGCTTCTTTTGGGAAGCACTTTGCAGGGATATACACATACTCCCTGCTGCGGTTCTGTGTGGGACTGGCTCATGGCTTCAAGTTGCTGCAGTTGTTACTTTTTATCCTTGAATGTGAAGCCAGGCTTGCTGCATGCACATCTTGTTTCCAGTTGTATAATTACTGGCTATCCTATAGGACTGTTCACCCCAGTGCTCTCTGCTGCTGCTTTAAGCTCTGTCTGGGTGCACAGTTCTGCAGATGTTACTTACAGTTGGTCTTGTGTCTGTAGTTCTATATGGTTATGTTTTTATGTGCCTCATCCCCACAGCTGCTTAGATACTGTCAAAGAACTGCCAGCTGTCTTCGTGTGAGCAGACCCACATCCATGTTGACATGAGGAGGGTGCTGAGTGCTCCAGTCTCCTCACAAAAGAGCCAGTGCAGAATGTAGCTACAGACGCATTCTGGGCCTCTAGAAGCTTCAAGGTAGCTCCATGCTCACACAATAAAAGCAGTTTGTTCTCATTGCTCTGCAGTTCAAACTCAAAGGTAGATAACAATCGTTATAATTGAGTGTGTAATAATACATTTTAATTAGCCGGCATCACACACTTCAAAGCCTTTAATAAAACATACAGGACTTTAAATGACAGCATTTGAGGTTTTGAAATTACTTAAGAACCAGGGAAGTCAAATCAACCACATCAGTCAATGACAAGTAAATTTACCTTGGCCCAGAGGTTGTAGCTGGTGAACTCTGGCACTCAACTTGCACAGGGCCTTTCACCTCCTCTGTTCCTTTGGAGGTGTTGCTCGTGATGAATGGCCATGCAGCCAGTGATGAAAACATCATCCCGTGCGGATTTTCATCACTGAGATTGTATCAGTTCTAGGCAGTCATTAAAAGCCACTGAAGAGCATTATCTTTTCTTAGGGCAGGGATTGCAGCTTGTCTTGACAGCAGAAACCTTTACTGTAGGATTCATTTGCACTTAATGTAACCTCGTCGGGTTTCTGGGTTCTTCAGAAGTTAGGACATGCTCCTCACTGATAAGTGCACAGTACCAAGAGTAACGAGGTAGCCGTTGTGTGGAGGTTGCATGTTCACCAGGGAAAGCCAAGATGGAGAGAAGAATTTAACTTGGACAAGAGAAGTTGATTTATGCATGAATTTCTGTCTTCAAGCGTGCATTGAATCACCTCCTCTGACTTACTTGTAGGTCTCTTACAGACCCTCAGTCTTATATTTTAGATTTCTTCTTTTCTGGACTGTCAGGAGGAGAGGAGGTTGTTTTACAGCAAGTGCTGACCCACATGTAAGAGTCAGTTAATGCATATTTTTGGAAGGGATTGGGGTGTTGATAGTGTTCTAACCATCCTGCAGTTAAATCTACAATGGCAAATCTAGACTGGCATAAAAACTGACAAACCACTGGCAAGAAGGACCAACAAAGTCTCATGTGCTTGGTGCTCAAACTGTAGTAATCTGGGACGTAGTTTGTGCACAGCCCACCCCTGCCTTTTGTTGCTGGGAAGAGCAGGCCCATTCCCATTGCAGTGGAGTGGAGGGATGCAGCCTGCCTGGGGTATGTTTGTGGAGTGAAGGGATGCAGCCTGCCCGGGGTGTGTTTGTTCCTTCACTCTAAGCCCGGTCATCAGCCCACAGTAACCTCTCTGGAGCTGTTGCAGCAGCTCCCATGCAGATGCATTGCTCTTTGTGCTGGGTGCTCCCTTCTGTTGTGCTGCCAGTGTGGCAGCTCTGCATGAGGTGAAGAAAGCTCTGTGTGAGACCTTGCAGGAGTCACCTGTATGCTGGAATTTGGTAGTCACAGACTTTGGGAAGGTGCAAGGCCCATCTGTAAATTCCATAAACTATTTCCTTGGTATTTGTTCAGTCCTTCGTCACTAATAGTCAGCTGTGTCTGTGGGTTCCCCATAGGAGTCAGTTGGGACTTTATCCTTTAAAAAAGAACAGAAGTATTAGCATGGTAATGATTTCTCTAATACTTGATTGATTCTCA